CGTTCTCTTTTTCTTCAGGTACCTTAAGTTTTCTTTCTGTTTCTTTGTTTCGGGGTCTTGATCAGTCTGCTCAAGTTCTCTTTTTTCCATATTCTGGATATAAAAATCTTCTTTTCTTCTTCTCTTAGTCTTTTTACTCTTCTTTCCTCTCCTGAAACTTGGTCTTCTTTCCAAGAATCTTTCTTGTATTTCATTAAAGATTGTCTGATTTTAAGATGTTCTACAAAGATCTTTTTTAGTATTCCCAATAATGTGTCTTTTTTTTCTTTTTCTAATTTTTAACACCCCACAGCCTAGGCATTACTGTGCTCTGCGATAAGGTCGTATTCAAGTTTCAATAAGACTTCTATCTATATATCTATTTTGCTAACAGATCTTTTTTTATCTTTTTCTACATTTTCTTGTTATATTGTGAATCATCCTTAATGCTAATTTGAAATATTACTTCTGTCAACCAATCTACTAGGTCGTAAATATGATTTTTGGTCTTGATTTCTCTTGAATCTTGTTTAGTGCTTTAGCTTCTGTGAGATCAGAAACGTCTTGTTCTTTGCTTTTGTTTTGTTTTTCTTTTCTAATTTTTCTTCTTTTTCTTTTTTGGTATACTAGGGCGAATTTGATTGATACTTTAAAATATATTAATAGAGTCCTTAAATCTGAATTATTATTCTGTTTTTGTCAAGTTTTTTCTTGAAGTCTCTTGCTTCAACTTATATCCAACTTCAACTTTATTTTGGCAGCTTGTTTTTTTTCTTGTTGAACTTGTATCTTTTTCTTTTTTTTTATTTCTCTTCTTGTTTCTTGTTAGTTTGTTGTTGTAGTCTTGATAGATTCTTTGAACTGATATATTGTAGAATTTAAGGCTGTTTTGTTGAGCTGTCTTTGTTGGCTTTTTATTTGTTCTTGGAGTCTCTTGCTTCAACCTAATTCTAATTTCGCCTTTAATTCAGTATATTGTTTTTCCCTTTCTACTAATAATCTTCTGACTCTATTGGCCATTCTTAATTCTACTATGTAATCAACTATTTCTTCTATTATAATACAA